GTATTTGACAAAATTCAACACCCATTCACCATTTTTAAAAAAACCTCAGAAAACAAAAAATAGAGGAAGAACTTCCTCAACTTGATAAAAACAATATCTACTAAAAACCTACAGCTCACATCATACTTACCGGTGAAAGACTGAAGCTTTCCTTCTAAAATTAGGATCAAGGCAAGGATTTCACTCTCATCGCTGTTATTCAAGACAGTACTAGAAGTTCTAGTCAGCACAATAAGGCAGGAAAAAGAAGTAAAAGGCATACAGATCGGAAAAAAATAATAAAACTGTGCCTATCTGCAGATGACATTATGGTCTCTGTAGAAAATCCCAGTGAATATACAAAATACTCCTAGAACTACAAGTGAGTTGAGCAAAATCACGGGATGCAAAATCAATCTACAAATATCAATCGTATTCCTATATACTAGTAATGAACACATGGAAACCAAAATGATACAATACCATTTGCAATTATCAAAAAAATTAAATACTAAGGCCTAAATTTAACAAAACATTTACAGGACTTGTATGCTGAAAACTACAAAATGGTGATGAAAGAAATCAAAGAAAATATACATAAATGGAGAGAGATCATATTCATGAATTGGAATACTTAACAAGGTAACAATGTCAAGTCTCCCCAGTCTGACACACAGGTTTAACACAATCACCATCAGAAGCCCAGCTGACTTTCTGTAGATATGCATAAGATTATTCTAAAATTTATATGGAAATGCAAAGGTTCTTGAATAGCCAAAACAATTTTGAAAAAAGAAGAATAAAGTGGGAGGAATAATTCTCTTCTCTACCCAATTTCAAGACTTGTTTTACAGCTACCATAATCAAGACTGTGTGCTATTGGCAGAAGGACAAACACACAGATCAGCGGAATGGAAGAGGGAAACCAGAAATAGCCTCCACACAAGTACAGCCAGCTGCATTTTGACAAAGGCGCAAAGCAATTCAATGGAGCAAGGATAATGTTTTCAATAAATGATGCAGAAGGAATTGGATATTCATAGGCAAAAAAATCTTGACCTAAACTCTCACATCTTATACAAAACTTAACTAAAAATAAACCATAGATTTAATGTAAAACATTTAGAAGATAACAAGGGAGAAAATCTAAATCTTTGAGACCTAGGACTTGGCGGAGTCCTTAAACCTGACTTCAAAAGTGGAAAAATTGGCAAATTGGACTTCATCAAAATTGAAAACTTTTTCTCTGCAGAATACCCTGTGAAGAGGATGAAAAGGCAAGCTCTAGATTGCGAGAAAATATTTACAAATAACATATCTGACAAAGGACTTATATCTAGAAGATATAAAGAACTCTCAAATGTCAACAGTAAAACAAACAAACAATTCAATTAGAAAGTGAGCAAAAGACATGAAGGAGCATTTCACTGAAGAAGATACACAGATGGAAAATAAGTACATGAAAAGATGTTCAACCCTTAGGGAACAGCAAATTAAGACCACAATGTGCTATTACTGTAGAGTAATTAGAACAGCTGAAATAAGAAATTGTGGCAATGCAAAATGCTGGGATGAGGAGAAACTGGATCTCTCACACATTGTTGGTGGAAAGTTAAATGGTACAACTCCTCTGGAAAATAGTTTGGCATTTTCTTGAAAAAATAAACATACACTTGCCATACGACCCAGCAATTGCACCCTGGACATTTATCTTAGAGATAAGAAAACTTATGTCCACAAAAAACCTGTACATGCTTATTCATAGCAGCTTTATATGCAACAGTCAAAACCTGGGGGGCCAGTCCAGTGGCGTAGTGGTCAAGTTCATGCACTCTGCTTCAGGGGCCAGGGTTTGCAGTTTCAGTTCCCGGGCACGGACCTATATACTGCTCATCAAGCCATGCTGTGGCAGCGTCCCACATACAAAATAGAGGATTGGCACAGATGTTAGCTCAGAGACAATCTTCCTCAAGCAAAAGGAGGAAGATTGCTAACAGATGTTAGCTCAGGGCCAATCTTCCTCACCAAAAAACCCACCTGGAAACAACCAAAATGTCTTTCAGTAGGTGAATGGTAAAACAAACTGGTATAACTACACCACGGGATACCAGTCAGCAATAAAAAAAGAGTGAATTATTGGAACACAACTCTAATGGGTCTCAATGACATTAAACTAAGAAGAAAAGCCAATCTTAAAATTTATGGACCAAAATTTATGGATCATATTTATGACCCATTTATCTATTGTATGATTCCATGTATATAACATTCTTGAAATGACAAAATTGTAGAGATGGAAAACAGATTCATGGTTGCCAGGGGTTAGGGATGGTAGGGGGAGAGAGAGTAGGTGTGGCTATAAAGACCTAACAGGAGCAGATCTTTGGGGTGATGGAATAGTTCTGTATTTCAACTGTGCTGGTGGTTACACCAATCTACACATGTGATAAAAAAACATACATTATACACACACAATGTGCCAATGTCAATTGCCTGGTTTTGATATTGTACCATACTTACATAAGATACAGCCCTATGAATGGCACATGAGAATTTTCTGTACTCTCTTTACAACTTCTTGTGAATCTACAATAATTTCAAAATAGAAAGTTTTAAAAAATGACCTAAAAATTTTTTTAAATGGATTACAGTTCCATTGCAACTCACTAATTACTCATAAATACTTTTGGAAAGCATTTTATGAAGAACTTTACTGTAGTTTGGGGTAAAGATGGGAATGATAGTTCTTTAAATCAGAGGTTTAAGTGAGAGTTTCCAGGTTTAAATCAGAAACTTAGACCTCAAAAAGAGAATCAAAGAGTAACCCATAGAGCAGAAAAAGCTATTTGCAGCAATGAACAATAGACTAAAGAATACCTATAGATTAACATGAAAAGAACGGACAATCCAACGGAAAATGCTCAAAAGCCTCGATCAGGCACTTCACAAGAGAGGAAATCCAAATGGCCAATATAACATGAAAAGAAGTCCAATCTCACTAGTAATCAGGGAAATGCAAATTAAAACCACAACGAGATACTACTATCCACCCACCAGATAGAGAAAAATTAAGTCTGGTAGTATCAAGCGTTAGCAGGGATTGTGGCAAAAGGAACCCTCATATGCTGCTGGGGAAGCGTAAATGGGGTCCCACCATTCTGGAAAACAGTTTGATATATCTACTAAGGACCAAGACTCACATTCCTCACACCTCAACAGTTTTATTCCTAGGTTAAAAAAAACTAAACAGAGGGGCTGGCCCCGTGGCCGAGTGGTTAAGTTCGCGCATTCCGCTGCAGGCGGCCCAGTGTTTCGTTGGTTCGAATCCTGGGCGCGGACATGGCACTGCTCATCAAACCACGCTGAGGCAGCATCCCACATGCCACAACTAGAAGGACCCACAACGAAGAATATACAACTATGTACCAGGGGCTTTGGGGAGAAAAAGGAAAAAATAAAAATCTTTAAAAAAAAAAAAAAAAACTAAACAGAAACATGGCCTTGCGTGTCCCAAGACACATAGACAAAAATATTCAAACATCACTGTCCGTGATAGCCCCAAACTGGAAACAACCCAAGTGTCCACCAATACTGGAATGGATAAACAGACTGTGACAGTCCTTCAGTAGAAGAGTATTCAACAATGGAAATCAACTAAAAATAAATGTAGCACATGAATGAATCATACAGATACAGTGGTGAGTGAAAGAAGGAAAATACAGAATAGAAACAGCGTGGTTCCACTTGTATGAAGTTCACAAGCAGCCAAATTAAACGGTGTTGTTAGGTAGCAAAACCATAAATAAGAGCAAGGAAGTGAGTACCATAAAGATCTAGATGTGGTTAGTGCTAGCGGGGAGGGGGGCTTTCATCTGGAAGGAGAATACGAAGGGCTTCCGGGGAGCAGATCCTGTTCTATTTCTCGACCCGGGTAGAGTTACACAGGTTTTCATTTTACAACGATTTGTTAAACTTTATATGTATGCATTTTTTCTGTATATTTCACAATGTAAAAAGGTTTTACATTGTTTTCAAAGGAACCTTTATACAAATTAGTGTAGTGCATCTTTAGATAAGACTTTACTAATAGGTTCCCTCATGTATTTTAACAACCTCCAAATAGACACTCTCCAGTCTTATTACGACGTTTCAGGTTACATCACAGCGCTAAGCGCTCCTCCTGTATACGAATCCCTCTCAGGACGTCTAGCCTGTTATCCGTGGTTCTGTCCTCCAGGAAGACCAAAAACAGATTGCTCCCATCTATAGACTTTTTTCAATAAATATTCATTGCTTTCGTTTAGTGAGTGCTGCCTCTGTGCCAGGCAATTGCTGAGTTCTTTATTATTTAGTGTCCTGTTTAACGAATAGAATCCATTATTGAAATTTCTCATTTAATTCAGATTGTTGTCATAATAATCCATTTCTTTAAACCCACTTCAAACTCCCTCCTAGTTCACTATGCCTTCCTCAAGTCGTGGATCTAGCTCAGGTCAAGGCCATTTATCAGCTGGAAGAGCAGTACTGGATGGGGCAACCATTATTTTCTGATTCCTCTTCGCCAGTATCCTGGATGCACAGTGGACTGGTGTGCACACACACACACGCACACACACACACACAGGGTTATCCAAGACTGCAGTATACTTAAATGGTCCTTTTTCTAGAACCCTTTGGTTATATTCTTCTACCAACAGCTCTCTCCACCTGAGCACCATTGACACTGGGGGCTGGATAACTCTGTGCTGTGGGGCTGTCCCGCACACTGCAGGATGTTTAGCAGCATCGCTGGCCTCCACTCACTAACTGCCAGTCGCACTTCCTCCCCACTCGCCCGGGTTGTGACCACCTAACCCATTTCCAAATGTCCCCTTGGGGGCAAAACTGCCCCTCTTCAATACCACTGTGCTCTACTAACCTAGTTTCTATAACTAAAAAAATAATCATAGTTTCCTTTCTACTATAAATCATAGTTTCCTTGCCTCCAAACACTAATATCTAATACTTTTATGTTGTCTTACGTTGTTTGAATATATATAGGAGTTTCTTTCTGCTCTGTTTAACAACAGAGAGACGGAGCACGAGGAAGAACACCAGGAACAACGCTGTCGTGGAGGTCAGTGCGAGAAAGAGGATGATGATCCGGGGGTTGTGACCTCCTGCAAAAGGAGAAATGCATGCAAACATATAATTTTGCAAATACGGTTATATTTATATTTACATTTGTAAACTCCTAAGCACGAGAAGAGGTGCCTTGGGCATCTCCAACCAGTTAACTTAGTAAACTTTCCTGCTTGGTAGGAAAACTTTACAAAACGTCCATAACTTTGCTAGAAGCCCACAAAAGTTCAGCGTTTTGGCCTTTCTAGGATATAGGAAATATGGGACTCTATAATCCCCTTTACTTGGCGTTAGCAAAGGTGTAGTATCTGCTTGGGTCAAGCCTCACCTTCTTTTGCTTACTAATGTGTAACACAGACTGGGTGACAAACACCTGAGAAAAACTGATGGGTCCCTTGATGCCAGGGTAAAGGAAGGGAGGGCATGCCAGAGGTGCCTGTTGTAGGCAGAGATGTAAGACATCAGGATTTAGATTCCAATTGTAATGGCCATGGTACATTCACTTCGATTAAACAGCAACAAATCAGCTACCTCGCTCTCTCGCAGGGGCAGGCATGGCGATGAAGGATGTACCTGGAGAGAAGTCGGCCAACGTTGGTCCACACACCACATCACTTTCCTTCGTCCCATTCACAAGCACAGACTTTCCATCCAAAGAACAGCTTAGACAGTCCAATGAAAAGAGTTCATATAATTAGTTCAGGTACAGCTCATTCTAATTAAAAACACTGACATTTCCACCAGGAGAGCAGCCTAGTGGCTGAATGTGTCAGTCTAGGTTCATAAAGATAGATTTTTTTAAAGATTTTTCTTTTTCCTTTTTCTCCCCAAAGCCCCCCAGTACATAGTTGTATATTCTCAGTTGTGGGTCCTTCTAGTTGTGGCATGTGGAATGCTGCCTCAGCGTGGCTTCATGAGCGGTGCCATGTCTGCGCCAAGGATTCGAATCAGCGAAACCCTGGGCTGCCGAAGTGGAGTGTGTGAACCCAACCACTCGGCCACGGGGCTGGCCCCATAAAGATATTTTGAAAAACTTCCATTTGACCCTCTCTCTCCCTCCAGGTTTCATAGCTCTCCACAGTTTGCCCAACTCTATCAACCTAACTGGATTCTTCTTTCTTCCCAGGCTGGGGAGCCTTGCTCCACGACAGCTCAGTTCAAAACTATTTTGCCCAGTTAGTCTCTCACCCCTAACTTCTTAAGCGTACTTGACTATCTCCGGCACACACAAAGGACAGATGACTTAGCATAAGGGTTGGAGTTCTTAACTCAGTGATGTTTTGGCCTCAGACAGACCAGGGTTTAGCCCTGGGTCTGTCTCTTTGCAGAATGACCTTGGGCAGGTTAGGAAATCTCTCTAAGCCTCAGTTTTCTCATCAGCAAAATAAGACATACACCTCCAAGGACTGTTGAGAAGAGCAAATGAATGACCCTGGGGACACACTTTCACATGCCTGACTCACTCCCAATAAGTAGTAGCTATCACCATCATCATCGCTGTCGTCACCATCACCATCATCATCATCATTGTCCTTATGTCTTTTCCCTTGTCCCCTTACCTAACCCAAACCTACCCATTCTCCAAAGCCCAGTTCAATCCCACTTTCCATGCAGAGTGACTTTGTACTATTTGTGTTGAAAGACCTTTTCTTAAAAAAAAACAAAACTTTCCAATCTGTTATGAACTAATACTTCTGTAAAACATCATAAGAATGTAAATGTAAAATGATAAGAAAAATGATTTTCTGGTAAGAAAATCAAATGAAAAAAGAAGAAAGGCATACAAAATACAAGATCTAAGTTTTTCTTATTAGAGTCAACAGACATATACGACTGTGCCAAATTGCCTTGACAGTTCTCACCGCTTACTCTCCATGTCTGCACTGCTCTTGCTGTGGACAGACAGCAAACCGCTCGTGGGCCAGCACCTATCCACAGACCACACTTTGATAGCTCTGCTCCAGGTCGCACAAGTCAACAGGAATATTCCTATGTGCACTGTTGCCTGTTTTACTACCCATGATGGTCTTGTTTTCCCAAGTACATGTTACATTTTTGAGGGTAGGAAACATATACTTCCTCCTCATTCTATATCATTCTCAGTGCTGGCACTGCACACTCCAAGATGGGCTGATCGATTGGGAAGGTAAGAGGCAGCAAAGAGACGGGAAGGAAACAAAAGAACCCTGTGGCAGACAGTAACAAAGTTGCACCAGCAAATCTGATCTGGATGCTCTGGGCGTTATTTCTGGAGAAGATGCCCACTTTGCATGTCAAGTCACTATTACCTCATACTCTTCCCACACTGCCTATTAGTTTGTTATTCTGTGTCTGCACTTGATAGATTTTAAAAATTTCATTATAACATTCCTTGCCTTTAAAAAAGTTAACCCAGATTCTTTATTTTGTAAGCAAAAGGAAAGTATACATACTTTGTCCAGGGTCGACAGACGCCACTTTTCTGATCATTAAATGTCCCAAAGCAACAGTCTTTACAACCTTGCATAAAAATTAAAGAATAATAAAAAAGGAAGCATTTTTGTCATTTCATAACTTTCCCTGTGATGAACATAATCACATAATAATAAAGTTAACACAATCTACACAGATTGTTCAACAATTCTTGAATTTTATTAGTGATGAATAATTCTTTTTTAATATTATTATGTGATGAACATAATCACATAACAAAATCATTAACTTAAGACAATCTACACAGATTGTTCGAAAATTCTGCTTGAAATGAAACCCCAAGATGACTAAAGTTTTTATTCTAATTGTACATAGAATATGGTATATATATATATCTATACATTGTATGAAAATGCATGGTCTTGGTGAATAGCAAATGCTGTGACTTCAAATTATTTCCATCGATTGAAAAATAATTTCGTACATGTCATATACTTGACACAGTAGCTCATTGCTTGTTACTTTAAGGTTCTACAAATAAATGCTTTACTTTGTATTCAAAGGACCAAGACCTAAGCTAATGACTTATGTCTAGACAACAAACTTGTATTGGATTGAGGAAGAGCAAACCTACCCTCTTTGGTTAATTCTTGACCTTGTTTACAATCCTGTTCACACATGGTGCATCCTTCCCCGAAGCAGTGGAACCCCGAGATGCACTCACATTCTGCATCGCTGGTGGGGAAGCACATCTTCTTGGTTCTGAAAACACCTACAAAGTCCCCCCAACATTACATTACACTTGACCTCTGAATCCAGGAAGCAAATTCTCATTCTGCAGTAAAAACCATGCTCACTCTACTTATTATGTTCCTAATGATCTTAGAGTTTAAAGTTTACTTTTAAATCTCTATAAAAGACAAATTTACATTTTGCAAATTAAAAACTTCTCTCTTGTCAAACGAATGTTTCCTCTAATATTTAAAAAGCTCAATCCACAAATAATTCTACTATAGTAAATTATGTTACTGGACCTGCCTATTGACAGAGGAACCAGTATCTCCGACACTCAAGACTTTCAGTAGAGATGAGTAGACTAGGAAGCTTGTCTTCCCAACACGTATCCAATGAAGACATCTTGTAAATCATACCTTCACACTTCTTGCATATGTCACAGGCCTCTTGTCCACTTCTGTTGGAGAAACTATTTGCAGGACAGGGAAGGCAAGTCTGATTGTTGTTTTTCCCACAGTAAGTACCTAAAGAGGGTAGATAATAGCTGTACATGTTTGACAATGGACAATCATCACCCAAAGCATAATGAAGGTCATGAGATGAGAAAACTAGAATAGGAAACAGTGATTGGTTTCCAGGTGTCTCAATGATAGACTTTATTTTGTTGATTGACTTTTAAAAATTATACATTTGCAAGATTGCCCTTAGCATAATCACAGAATTAGAAATAAGAAAGTGTAGATAGTGCACCAAATAAACCAACAGATAAGAAATCATTTCCTTTATTGAATAAAATAGAATGATTTCTCTTGATTGATCCAGGAGATCAATATGACTGGATTCAGGAGATCAATCTCCTTCATTCATTAAAATCTAAATGTCTGCCCTTGCCCACTCTGTTAAGCCTCCTGCCACCTATTTATTGCCTGCTGTGCCCCCAGACTGAGCACAGGTCCACACACACAAAGCTAACATTTATTAAGGTCTTGCCATGTGCCATGCACTGTTCTGAGCCTGTCACATGATCCTCCAAGAAATCCTATGAGATAGATTCTCTCCTATCTCTCCTATTTCATTCCCAGATGAGGAAACTTGAGCACAAGAGATAAAGTGATGTGGCTTCATTCACACAGATAGAACGCAGCATCCAAGAAATATTTGTAAATGAATGAACAAAAGATCATTAAAACAGGGCTCATTAGCCCTGACTACTAGACTAACTGAACCATGTTTTCAACAGAACAAATCAAACACTCACATTACTTTGGTCCTTACCAGCTGGACAGTTATCACAGGAATCCTGCCTTATTGATCTTGTCCTCTCAAAATTCATGACCAATAGCACAGTAGCCACTATGTTGTAATAGCCATTTCCCATGATGAAATCTTGCATCGATATGATACTAGCAAAGTAGACTCCAAAAGAATTTAATCAAATTAGCTGGTTTCACAAATACCACTCTGCAAAAAGTGGGAAAAAATTTCCAAGAATGAGGTGGTTTCTCCTTTTAGAATTATCTATATTTCAACCATTACCTATACAATCCCACAAGACCGTATCATAACTAAGGGTTTTTCGGGAACAATTAATGATGGAATATTATGGAAAAGGTAGCAAATTCATAGAAACTTTTCTGATAAGACAAGCATGACTAAACACATAGCTTTGTACATGGTTGCCAAAGCCTGAGCATGCACTTTCCAAGATGTTCTGCCAAAATGCAGAAATAACAATAGCCAGAACTTTTGGGGACTTCCATAGCTACCAGCATTTGCATCCAGATTTCAAAACTGCCAGTTGCTTGCTGCCCCTGAAATACAGTCCTTAAAAAGAGAATCTGTCAGTGGAAGCATCCGACAGTTCAGCTCAATGAGAACACATCTTATTATTACTATTTGTCTGAAGAGCTGGTGGAAATTTCAACACCTAATTGCTAAAATGTCGAAACAACTCTCTGCTCAATTCATTATCACATTTTCTTAACAGACACGTATTTGCTCATTTGGAGATCGCAAGCTCATATAGTAACAAAACTGAGGAGGAAAAAAGTCTCTTTAGCCAGGTTCTTGATCTTTATTTAATGGGTGATGGAATGAAAGTTATTAGAATTAGAAGGCAAAAAAGTCCAGAAATGTACAAAGGGAATAAAGCTTATATCCTCACTCCAATTCAGTTCCCCCGATCTGCCCCAAATGAACAAACCTTGAGATCTCAGGGCTGGTGGAGAACTTTCCGCTCCTCGATCTTCAGAGCAGTGATGGATCAGCAGCTCGAGGACAGCAGATTAAACCCAGGAGCTTCAGTGACTCAGCTGGGGGCGGGGCCTCATGGGAAATCCCCGCCACAACTCTGCGGTAGCTCATTTGATATTTGCTGACCCCAAAATCCCCCAGAGCCCCTGTCCCCACTTGATAATGGCACTTGAAACCACTTCTTGGAATCAGCTCTCTACTCCTAGGACATTTCTCAGATGATTTTGGGAAAAGGACTTTGTTATTTAAAGTAGTGTCCATGCCAAAGCTTTTAACACGTCCTTAAAATATTTGACAGTTGAGGGATGAAACCCACTCCTAAATCAGTATCAGCACTTTTGCCATATGCTGCCCCCAAACTTGATAATAATAGTGATGCTAGAGCTATAATTTATTGAGTGCAGCTGACGTACCAGGCATCAGATAAGCACTTTATTGAATATCATCCTTGAAAGAACCTTAGGAATGGATATTATTATTATTATTACTTTCTGCTTTATCTCCCCAAATCCCCCCGATACACAGTTGTATATCTTAGTTGCAGGTCCTTCTAGTTGTGGCATATGGGACGCCACCGCAACGTGGCCTGACAAGCAGTGCCATGTCTGCGCCCAGGCTCTGAACCCTGGGCCGCCGCAGCAAAGCACGCGAACTTAACCACTCGGCTACGGGGCCAGCCCCTGGATATTATTATTGTAACAACATTATGCAAATGACAACACTGAGGCTATGCCTCTAGCCAGATGATCAGCAGGATGGGGAGCTGGGATTAGAGCCCAGGACGTCCTGACTAATTTTTACTGTGCTTCTCACCATGTGGGTGAGATGGGAGAAGGAGGGAGAAATGGAGTGACATGCAGACAAGAGAGGCATAGAATTTGTATGGTGGGGTGACATTATTGGGTAAAATTGAGGTCTGTGAGAGCTTTTTAGAAAACCATTATTTCAATTTTTTTTTTTAAAGAGGAAGAAGAAGAGAAGGAGGAAAGGGAGAGGAAAAGCAGAAGGAGAAGAGAAAGAGGAAGAGAGGAGGAGAGAGAGAGGAGGAGAGAGAAGAGAAAGAGGAGGAGGATGCTTTAGAGAAGCTAAGATGAACCCGTCTGGCCTGGAATGGCTCAGAACCCTCAGGAAGTCAACCAGGCAGCCTAATAGCAACAGTGGTTTTGACTAAGACAGACGGTCTTCCATTAGGGACCAAACAGAAAAGAGATATTTTTCCACAGGAGGCATAGCAGCTTGGTCTTGAATTGGGGGATGAAGGGAGAGGAGAAGGGAGCTAATATTTACTAAACACTTGCTATGTGCCAAGCACTTTACATGTTTCCATGACATCTATCATGCCACCATCCCCCTCAGAAACTTTCAGTGGCTCCCTGTTGTCCACAAAAGAAAACCTGGACCCTATAGTCCAGTATTGAAGGAATTCCCAGATCTGACCTGAAGTTGCCTTTTTTGAAAATTAAGATATAGTTCACATAACACAAATTTCACCATTTTAATGTGTACATTTCAGTGAATTTTAGTATATTCACTATGTTGAGCAACCATCACCGGTATATAATTCCATATTTTTATCAGTCCAAAAAGAAATCCTATACTCATTAGCAGTCACTGCCCAGTCTCCTTCCCCCCAAGTCCCTGGTAACCACTAATCTTCTTCTGTCTCCATGAATTTTCCTATTGTGGACATTTCATATAAATGGGATCATACAATATCTGGTCTTTTGTATTGGGTTTCTTGCATGTCACATAATATTTTCAAGGTCCATCCACGTTGTAGCATTCATTCCTTTCTATGGCTGAATAATATTCCATTGTATGGATAGAGCACATTTTGTTTATGCATTCATCAGTTGACGGACATCTGAGCTGTTTCTACTTTTTGACTATTATTAGTAATGCTGCTATGAACACTTGTGTACAAGTTTTCATGCGGGCGTGTGTTTTCAGCTCTCTTGGGCGTACACCGAGGAGTGGGACTGCTGCACTGCATGGTCATTCTGTTCCACTTTTTGAGGAATTGCCCATTTTCCACAGTAGCTGCACCATTTTACATTCCCACCAACAATGTACAAGACTTTCAATCTCCACATCCTTGCTATCACTCATTTTTCCATATTTTTAAAAATTAAATTGTTTTGGCGCTGGCCCCATGGCCGAGTGGTTAAGTTTGCGCGCTCTGCTCCAGGCGGCCCAATGTTTTGCTGGTTTGAGTCCTGGGCGCAGACATGGCACTGCTCATCGAATAACACTGAGGCGGCGTCCCACATGCCACAGCTAGAAGGACCCACAACTAAGAATATACAACTATGTACTGGGGGGCTTTGGGGAGAAAAACGAAAAAATAAAATCTTTAAAAAAAAAAAGAATCATAAAAAAAATTAAATTGTTTTATTACAGCCTTTCTAGTAGGTGTGAAGTGGTATCTCATTGTGGTTTGATTTGCTATCCTAACTCCAATTTCATCACCCCCTCCCCACCATGTAATGGGAGCAGTGGAGTATGGCACACGGTAAAGCGCCCAAGTTTGGCAGAGCCTAGGCTCTGCCATTGATGGTCATGAGACCTTGGGCAAATTTCTTACCTCCCTAAGTCTCAGATTTTCCACTCGTACCTTTCAGATACAGTAACACTGTGCCTTATCCTCATTTAGTGAGGACTAAATGAAACAATGAACATGAAATAGTTAATTCAATACCTGGCACATAGTTCCGAAGAGTAACTTACTATGAGACATTGTTTTGAAATTTGCCTTCCCTAGCCTCCCACACTGATCATCAGTAGAACAACCCAGAGCAGGTAGCAACTGAGGAGAAGAATGCATGGGCTGTCTACGGCATTTACTCCCAAATTCTGAGAGTCATTTTACCAGTGATAATTGTGGGATCCCCTCCACCAGCTTCACCGGAGCTGGCCAAATGCAGGAGTATCATGCCATAACAATCACACTGCTGATCACTTTCAAAGTCATGATCTAACCAAGCAGCCTCCTCCTTTACATGTGGTACTCTGTGTTTAACATTGCAGCATGACATTTAACCGGATTATATTTTCATTTAACTAAATGCTACTTAGTAATCTACTTTTTGCTCTTCTGTGGGCAGAGCTATTGCCTCCCCTGAAAGTGACGTATGTAGTTTCCCAGCACAGAAATTAGCTCATTCTTTTAAGCTGAGCCAGTGACATAAAAGTGTATACTGACCTAGAAGATTCTCAAGATTAGTTGCACCAGCCTACAATTAAACAAAATCAACCACTTCAGAATTGTTGTGCTGAAGGATATGCAAAGTTTTATTTGGGTGTTTAAAGAGTTTTATAATGTTCCTGTTACTGCATTCTTGTTTAATAAAAGCATCATAGGAAGCTAAGGCAAATTCTAAAGTTAACCAGATGCATATACTATTGAAGCTAGCCAAAGGTGTAATACTCTTTTAGTGCAATTTTCATTTGCTTTAAAATATGCATCACATTGCTTTATCCATTTTAGCCTCCTAATCTTTCAAATGCAAACAAACATTCATCTCTTGCAAAAAACAGTCTTCCCAAACTAAATCAGAGGTGATCCCAACAGAACATCAACATTTTAGCAATATCAGCAATAATATTTGTTCCATCACATTCTCAACATCTCATTCCAAGCCAAGGAATAGATTTCCTTTTATTTTGATGGACTCTGGATCTAATATTGAATATCTCAAGTGAATATGCTTTGAGGCTAAAGCGCATGAAAGTTCAACTACTCTAAACAAGATAAAGACGATATTTAGAAAGAGAAACAGGCCCTCAAAATATGCTTCCTATAAAATATGTCCCCGTCCTCCCAGGACACATCTTAGAGGCAATCTCATCCAGGGAGTATGCACTATTTACACTCGCTATTTCCTGCAAGATCAATTCTTACAAGATTCAGCGTCCCCACCCCTACCCCAAGCATCTATCCAGTCCAGGAAGCTGCTGCTGTTAAAGATTTCCACTGCTTGTGACGCCAGTAGTTCTGAAGCATAAAAGAAACAAATTAAAAAGGAATTAGAAAACAGAAAATGAGTGTGAAATCAGAGAAAAGGAAGGAGGTAGGGTAGGGGAGAGAAGGAAGCACACATTGTAAGGAAAGATGAGATGTCAGCAGTTATCAAATTTGCTCACTATTTCTCCCTGGTCACACTATCTCTATGTGATACCCACTTATATGTTAATGACTCATAAATACT